CCCCCCCTTCTCCAGACCCTCGATATAAGGTAAGGTGAGGTACACTTCTTTCTCCGCTGGTCACACAAGGTAAGGTAGGTAAACTTCTTTCTCCGCTGGTCACACGAAGCGACGGACGGCGGACGGCGGAGGGCGGACGGGCGCTAACCACGGGCAACTACATGCCGGAGGTTCAACGACGACTACTTGCCGCCTGGGTCGTTTGGGGCGTGCGGCTCCGTCGAGGACCGGGCGCGCCCCTTGCCCGGCGCGGCGTAGGTCCCACTCTGACGTATAGAGGGGAGGCACGGACGATAGCCCGATCCATCAACTACATTCATCTTCTGGTGCTTAGCCCCGTGCAGCGGCGGTCCGGCAGGCTGCCCCCAAGGCCCCCTGGGCCGCTGCGGGTTTTGGAGTTATGCTTAGGCACAGCTTCGGCGATGGCAGCCCCTCCCTGCGTGGGGTGTTGCATAGGCGGGGAGTCTCCCCCGCTGGTCTCCTCATTCCTTTTTTCTTTTTCTTTTGAGAGCAAGAACGCCAGGTTTGTCTTGTATGTGCGTGTCGGGCCTGGGTGTTCGTGCGGAGCGGAGGGGGGTGGGGGTGTGCGGGGCAGAAGCTCAACGTCGGTCGGGGCTTGTCCGATGTAGTCCGGCTTCTTCATCGGGTCCGTCCCAAGCTTGTGTGCGTCGTCGTCGAGGCTGAAGGACACGAAGATGAGCATCATCGTGGCAAGCTGCACGAGGGCGGTGAACAATCCCAAGCATTTGAGGCAAGGGAAGTCTCGGATCGGTGCGACGAGGAAGAGGTCCGATGAGCCACCTAGGCGCTCTAAGAGGCTCATGCGTGCGAGCTGCACAGCACTTCGAGCTCTCAAAGCAGGCGTCCCGGTCAACAACAGAAAAAAATGGGGTTGTGGCGACCGCGAGCTTCCGTTCTCGACACGGAGCCGCGGCGGTCGATTTGGATGACGTCTACTCTTGGTGCGGGATGACTGTGCTCTTCTTGTGCTCTGTGGGCCTGAGAATGGTGATTTTGCTTTTCTTTTGAGCTAGGCTTACGATTTTTCTTTTCCTTTTCCTACTAAGAGCACAGCACACAGGGTAAGAACGTGTACACAATGACCACAGCGCCTCGAGCACAGCGCGCAGGGAGGGACGCGCAGACTAAGTCTGGCAGACAGCAAGGCAGACAGCGCATAATGGACACGATGAAACCTGTACACCGAGGCTCGCACTCAGATCAGCGCGAGCACCTCTGAGATGAGCGATTCGCCGCCGGAGAGCTGGACGCAACGCGCGCAATCGGCCATCACATCGTCGTCGATCATGGCGCACAGCTCCTCCTCGCTCACAGATGACAGCTGGCCGTCGCACGAGTCGTCAATCTTGTCGCCCCCCACGCCCGCGCCCGCGCCCGCGCCCGCACCCGCACCCGCGCCCGCGCCCGCGCCCGCGCCCGCGCCCGCGCCCGCGCCCGCGCCCGCGCCCGCACCTCCCTTCAGGAGCAGCGCCTTGACGGTGTCCTGGTTGGCGATGATGAGCTGCGCCAGCTCCGGCGCGCTCCCCATGAGGCCCATCACCACCTGCTCCGGGGATGCGCCGCCCAGAAGCTCTCCCTTCACCTCCTCGAACCTGGGGTGGCTCGTGATCGCGCTCACGGCGGAGGAGGGGCCGGGCGGCGCCGCGGCCGGCGCCGTGGCGATGTATTGCGTCCACGAGGCGCGCGATCGAGGGCCGGTCGACCTCCGCGGGTGCTTCTCCGCCGAGGCGACGCCGACGGCACACAGGGGCGCGGGCGGCGTCGAGGGAGGCGAAAGAGGCGCGCACGACGGGGCGGGTGGGGCGCGCGGAGCCTCCAGCGGCCGCTTTAGCTGGCCGGGGCGGCCGCTGTCGCGGACCTGGAGTACGCCCCCTCCGTCGGCGCCAAACGGCGAGAAAGCGCTCATGAAGAAGCTGCACGGGATGCGGCTGCTCCCAGCCTCGCGCACGAGCACGCGCCGCACGTGGCCCGTGAAGGAGACCGCCACCTCGTCCGACTCGGCACCGAGCTCGAGCGCGACGCCCAGCTTCGAGAGGCCCTGCACGAACTGGCTTCCCCGCCTCATCTTGAGCACGAACGGTCCGTCGATCTGCACCTGGCCCATCGTGACCGTGACGCCCTCCTGCTTGGACTCGACGGGCGACAGCGGCATGCTCAGCGCCTCGGCAAAGGCCTTCAGCAGCCGCTGCCGATCCGCCTCCTTCTCGAGGAGCAGGTTGAGCAGCTGCGGGGGTCCGGCGGCCGATTTCATGGCGTGGGGGACCACCTTGTCGGCGGAGAGAAATCCGAGGTGCTCCGTGAGGTGGGCGTTGGGCGCGTTTCGATAGCTGGTCCCGTCGAACATGCGGGCAAAGACAAGGCAGGGCGAGCTGAAGAGGTCCATGACGACGTCCGGGACGGAGAGGGGGAGGGGAGATGTATAGACGGCCCCCTCCTTGAGCTGGATGTCCGACATCTTGAAGCCGAGCTGGTGGGCCGACCGCATCGCAAAGGCCGTCAGGGAGCAGCAGTTGCGCTTCTCCGCGACGTCGAGGACGACGTGCAGCGCTCCCATCAGCACGTTGCGGTCAGAGAGACGGTTGCCGTGCGAGCAGGCCATCACGAGCAGCTTTGTCATGTAGGAGGCCATCTGGCCAAAGATCCTGCCGAGCTCCACGGCCTCGTCGGCGGTCGACACGGACACGGAGACCTGGATGGGGACCTGCGCCGGCTCGCAGATGGACGGGTGCCAGCCAGCCGAAGAGGAGCACTTGGAAAGCGTGGCGGCAGACACGAGGGCCGGCCCGAAGTCAGTCGGAAGCAGCGCCCCTCCCTGCTCCGCGATGGTGCGCGAGGAGAGCTCCACCGTCGCCTTTTGGCCCTTGCTGCGGCCCTTGCCGAGCTTGCGCCTGTCCTCTTCGGGGATGCACAGTAGGCCGAGCCTCTTGCAGCGGGAGCACTCGCGCACCGTCCCGTCCGGCTGGATCATGTCGCACTTGGTGCGGCTCTGGCGGCAGCACTTGCAGAGGGCGTTGAGCGGCATGCGTGCGTGCTACCGAGAACTGGGCAGCTGCCTCTCCCAAGGTGGAGACGGGAGGTCCAAGGTGGAGACGGACACGGGAGGTGGCGACGGGGACGGGAGACGGGCCAACACCTCAGGAGCCGGCCGAGGAAGGGACTGGCGTCCCGAACACGTCCCTCCTATGATCCTGCACATTGCGGCGCTTTTTCATTGTACCTTGAGCACTTGAGCACTGGATAGGGTCGATTCCGCATGGTACGGGACCCCTCGATCGTCTCGCCCTCCCTCACTGGTGTGTTCATTGTACCTTTACGTTTTTAGCTTACTGGGAGAAAAGGGAGAGGGGGGTGTGTTCTCTATCTAGGCCCCTAAGGGCCCTACGCGCGGCGTGAGAGCTCGGAAGCGAGCTTTGTACGGCGATCGAGGATGGCGCGGTTCACCCCCTTCACCGAAGCGATGGAGATGCGTTCCGCTCGACGTTCCGCGTGGTGTGACACAAATGAGAGGCGGGAGTGGGGAGGGTACGCGGTGCGGTCAACGCCCGAGCGTTGAGCCTTGCGCGCAAGGCGGTTGATCTTTGCAACTCTCTCAGTGTATGTAGCTCTTACGAACATACCCGTAGGTGAACTGCTGACAGGGTTTGCGATGAGGAGCGTTTTTGCGCCGAGACCGATGTCCGGAGTATCAGGTGAGTCTTTCTCCTCAACGCGGAGGAGGAAGAGGCTGGCGAGTAGAGGCCCCGCCCACCCAGGGTACCCTCTCCGAGGACCCATTGCCTCTACGCTCTTTCGAGGACTCGCCGGGGCTCTGCTCCAAGAGATCTCGAGAGAGCGTGCGTGTGCCTCTACTCGCCAGAGGAAGAGGTGCTAAAAAAATCCTAAACGACAGTGCGAGGCCCGTCCAAGTGTGTGGCGTCCCGAACACGTCCCTCCTATGTCATGCAAATTGGAGCGGTTCTGCGCGCCACCCTGAAAAAGAAAGAAAGCAAGCCGTCTCGCGGCCCTCGATGAACGGCAAGGTCGGCGTCGTCGTCTCCGCAATGACGCCAACCAGCCCAACGGGAGCTCTGGTGGGGGGGCGTGGGCGCCTGTCCGCCTGACAGACGCCTCGCCGCTGTGTAGGACTCAAGCAAGTTCGTCGCGCCGCCCTCCGTCTCCCTCACTACCGCTGACGAGCGCCTGAGGTGCGCTCAATGCGTGCGCGATGCTGCTCCTGTGAGATCGGTCCCGCTCCACGCCTCGCCTCTCCGCGACAGGTACACCGAATTCCTCAGCCGCGAGCGCAACTCGCACACGGCCGCCTCGAGTGCCGAGGCGGCCGCCCCGGAAGCGCAGCTGCGGGGGCCCAACCGAGGCAGCTGTGAGAGGTAGGCCTCCTTCTTTTGGGCCCTCGCCGACCCAGTGGTGGTCGGCTGGGTCTTTGCGCCGTCGAGCCGCCCGAAGCCGCCGCCCGAGGGCGAGCCGTCGCGGCAGCTTCTGCGGTCGTCGAGCGCGGTGCGACGCACCGCCGCCGCGTTGGAGAGCTACGCACATTATCGGAGCAATGCGCGCCAACGCACAGTTTCCCTCCCACCACCTAGGTGCGCTACACAGCCTCGCTCGTCACCAACGTGACGGAGGGGCTGGTTCCGCGGTGGAATCCGCCCGCGGAGGGCGACCGCCGCGCCCACAGCCGCGCGACCCGCAGGCTGGCGCGCGCGCGCACGGCGCTCGGCTCTTGCCTGCTGAGCGCGGGCGGCCTGGACCCGCAGCCCGCCCTGTGAGTCGCGGAGCCAGCAGGGCTTGCACGCGCGCACACGTACGGCTCTACCGCACAGCCACCACGCAGGCGCACCACAGCTCGCGTTGTCCGTTTTGAGATGCCGTTCGTGCGCGTTCTGGGGGGGAGAGTTTTATTCCGCTCTCAACGCGCTGGTCATGACATGCCCACGCAAAAACACACAAGTCTCAAGTACGTGGGTCGGGCCCTGCAAACTGCGCATAGACTTCACACTGGCAAGGATCTTGCGGTTGGTCAAGCGGATGCGGGCGTGCTGGGCGGCCGCGCCTCGACCTTCTTGGGCAGTAGCTGGTTCGACAGGTCCTCTCCGTGTCCTAGGCAGCCGTCTTCGCCCTTGCCCCACGTGAAGACGGCGCCGTCTGCGGTGCAGGCGAGGCTGTGGTACGCTCCAGCCGACACAGCGACGGCGCGCCGGCCAGCAAAGGCCTCGACCTTCTTCGGCAGCAGCTGGGTCTGCTGGTCGCCGTGGCCCAGCTGGCCCTCGTCTGCCCAGCCCCAGCTCCAGACGGCGCCGTCGGCGGTGAGGGCGAGGCTGTGTCGCTCTCCCGCCGACACAGCGACGACGCGCTGGCCAGCAAAGGCCTCGACCTTCTTGGGCAGCAGCTGGTCCGACCGGTCCTCTCCGTGGCCCAGCTGGCCAAAGAATCCCCAGCCCCAGCTCCACTCCTCGCCATCGGCGGTGGTGGCGATGCTGTGGCCGCTTGCAGCCGCGACAGCGACGACGCGCTGGCCAGCAAAGGCCTCGACCTTCTTCGGCAGGAGCTGGTTCTGCCCGTCGCCGTGGCCCAACCGGCCAAGGGCTCCAGCGCCCCAGCTCCAAACAGCTCCGTCGGCGGTGAGGGCGAGGCTGTGCAGATCTCTAGCCGCCACAGCCACGACGCGCCGGCCAGCAAAGGCTTCGACCTTCTTGGGCAGCAGCTGGTTCTGCTCGTCGCCATGGCCCAACCGGCCCCGGCCTCCATAGCCCCAGCTCCACACGCCCCCGTCGGCCGTGATGGCGAAGCTGTGGTCGTGTCCAGCCGACACAGCGACGACGCGCTGGCCAGCAAAGGCTTCGACCTTCTTGGGCAGCAGCTGGTCCTGCTGGTCGCCGTGGCCCAGCTGGCCCCAGGCTCCAAAGCCCCAACTCCAGACGGCGCCGCCGGCGGTGAGGGCGAGGCTGTGTGCGGCTCCAGCCGACACACTCATGGCACGGAGAGAAGACGGGAGGCGGGTCGGCGTGTTGAGCCGCGTCACGCCCTCGCCGTGGCCGAGCAGCCCTGGAAAGTAGGACGGCGTAGAGCCGCACGACGAGAGCCGCCCCTCGCCGTCGATGAAGACGCTGTGCTGACGGCCTGCAGCCGCCCTCGCCGGCGGGTTGGACTCGCACAGCAGCGCCGAATAGCACAGCCACCGCACGGCGCAGCTCTCGCCCTCCGGCTGCGCCGGCAGCTCGAAGCCGCGCTCTTGCGCCCACAAGCGGATGCCCTCCAGCGCCAGCGAGGCGTGGAAGAGCAGCGAGACGGCCGCGACGCGAGCGATGTCGATGGGGCTGTGGCAGTGAGAGAGGGCGCGCACGAGGAGGTCCGTGGGGAGGTCGAGGAGGCGGGCGGGCGGCGGCGTGTCTGGCGAGGGGGCGCGGGTGGCGGCGGAGGCGAGGCGGCGCGAGCGGCGGCGCGGCGGGGCAGACATCGCGAGAAAAAGAAAAGGCTCCGCGAAAAGAAAAGTCCGAAGTCGTCCTGTGCGTTCGAAGGAAGAAGGGAGCCAATAAAAAGAAAATCGCGCTTTTGCCGCTGAGAGAAGCCAGCCCAACGGCGAGTACCGGCTTCGCCCGGGGGCGCAGAATGGAGTCGGCCCTAGAGCCCTCCTTCTTCAACGGCGAAGTGCCGGTCACGCTCAAGTACACCGACCGCGAGGACCGCCGCGCCACGATCACCGTCGAGATGGCGCACGGATCGGCGCGCAGAGACCTGTGCACGCTCGCGTCGGCGTGGCTCAGCCTCGCTTATTAGGGTCCACTCTGCGGCCATAGGCGGCGGCGGGCGGGATGGCGCGGCAGCGCGTGCTGAACCTGCAGCTCACCGATGAGGCCGACGCCTACCTCCTCTACTCTCTCCACCTTTCGGAGGACGACTTCCACGCCCTCAAGACGGAGCAGGTGCCGCGTGCCGCTTGCAAGCCCGCCGCCTCTGCTGCACCGGCACCGCGCGCGGCGCAGCCGTCGCCGCAGTCGCCTCCGCTGCCTTCTCCGCCTCCGCTGCCCTCTCCGCCGCCGCCACGCCTGCCGCCTTCCCCACCGCCACCCGCCGCCTTTCCGCCCCACCGCCCCCTACACGGCTGCTGGCGCACTCACCGCCGCCCTCCGCCCGCCGCGCCGCCAGTCTCTGCTGGTGGACTTTGCGACCTTCCCGGGCAAGCTGGTCGAGCTGCTGCGCCAGTGCCAGGCGTGTGCCGCCGAGGAGCAGCCGCGTTTCGTCGCCGAGCTCTCTGTCGGCGACAGCGCCGCCTCCTCCTCCGCCGGCAAGCCGCCGACGCTCGAGCGGTGGCGAGCGGAGGGCGAGAGGTAGCAGCGATGGGGCCGAGATGTGGCCGGGGAGTGGCCGAGGTACGGCCGCCCACGCTCGAGCGGCGGCGGCGCCGGATAAAGTGAGAGTGGCGGGGAGAAGGGCTGAGAATTTGCCGCCGGGCGTTGCCGCCACTGCCACCGCCGCCACTGTCACCGCCGCCGCCCTCGCCGCCGCGCTGTCGCCGCTGCTGCCCTCCCGGCCCCTCGTCTCACCGCCCCTGCCCTCCCTGACCCACCCGCAGGAGCCGACGTCTCTGGCCGCGGCGGCTCGGGCGGCGGTGCGGCTGCGGGGACAGCCCGCCCGGCTGCGCAGCGAGATCGCCTCGAGATCAGGCGAGATCGCGCGGAGCGTAGGCGGACCGGCGACGCCCCGCCTGACCGTCACCGAGACGAACCCCTTCCGCCAGCTCTGCCACCTCTCCCTCTCCCTCTCCGCCGGCGACGACGGCGCGGGCTCAGAGAGGAGCGAGAGGCGGCGGCGTCGGGGGGGGGGGGGGGG